AATTACACTGTCAAGGTCCAGAAAAGTATGAAAGACATCGTCAGAATAGTCCATCTGCCATCAGTGGTTCAACTGTAACGTTATGAAGCGACGAGAATACTTTTTGTACACAAAGAAAACAAAAATAACTTTATTCAACAATTCGTCGTCTCCATTTTAGAGAATATCGACTGAACGTAATCTGCGTATACTGTTCTACTTGTCTGTGTCAGCCGCACCACACGGATACGTTTTCTACGTTTATTTACGCTTTGCTTTGAACGAAAACAGCGTATCCATGTGGTCAGAGGCGGACTTAACCATTAGGCAAAGGTAGGCGACCGCCTTGGGCTTCCAAAAGCCAAGGGCCCCCTAAAATGCTTTTTATATGCGAGATGCGCGTTCAGTGCGGACGCACAAGTGGTTGCTCTGGTGTTCATTACCACCGTCTGTGCGTCCGCGTTGAACGTGCTTCTTAGCAAAAGTAGGGCGACGTAGAAAATGGGGACGGAATCCCGGAATCTATTAATAAAAACTGAATTTACTGTGTAACGCGGAATGTGACGGAATGAACGGCGCAGACGCGCTTTTCTTTTGCCAGTTTGCTATTTAAGCAAACGCAACGCTCGCAGTTGTCGTCTGTAGTAGCTAAATAGTAATTTTGCCATTTAATATTCACGTACACTAGTCCATATCGCGGTTTGATTGAAGTGTACTGAATTGCATTTGATTTATTCATTCAATATTTGACTGGACACTCTCCAAAATGGCGCTACGGTGGAGATAGTTCATCCAAAAATGAAAATTCTGTCATCATTTACTCACCCTGACGTTGTTCCAAAACTGTATGACTTACTTTCTTATGCAGAGCACAAAGGAAGATATTGTGAAGAATGTTGGTAACCTAACCGTTGATGGTCCCCATTGACTTTATATGGACAAAAAATACAATGGAAGTCAATGGGAACTGAACCTGTTTGGTTACCAACAAACGACATGAGTGTGTGTAAATAATGACAGAATTTTTATTTTTGGGTGAACTATGCCTTAACTGAGTCTTAAATTGCCTAAAGCAAAAGGTTTCCTATGACATTTAAAATTAAAATAGAAAAGGCTACAAAAATATCTTTCAGAGTTACTACAGATTAAAACTTTTCTCTGTTGAAAAGGCACATATTACAGCGCAGCACAGATTACGTCTGCCAGTAAACAGCTCCAGCACAATCCCATCATTCCCTCAATTTGAACTGTGAAAGATTTCGGTTGAGTTTAATCCCAGGCCTAATCTGTAATCTCCTCCTGCAAACTCAGATACAGTCTGACAGACAATTTATTGTTTTAGTAGGTGTGTTAAACTAGAAATCAGACTGCTAGAAAAGACAAAACATTGTAAAATAACACATCACAGCTTTTGGGATTAAAGCCCAAAAATATATAAAAATCACTCACCAAAATCTCACAAAACCGGTCAAGAGCGTCCAGGTCATATTTCAACCCATAATCAAAAGAAAGAGGTAAGAAATTATATATTTGCCTAAAAGAAAATGAAAAAGCCACACAACACAAAAAAATGCATTAGATCCACAGTATTTGTCATTCAAAATCAAACCTTTATTATGAACACAGTAGAGGGAATGCAAACCAGATTCTCGATTGTCCCTTCTCATTTCATTCACATATTTGCCTTCATATTCATGTACAGCCACATTTAAGATTTTATTTTGTGCACTTTGAAACACAATCGTCTGCACACATCTCAATACAAATGGCCATTATAGTTTTTTTTGCTTCATATTTGCTTCAAAAGGCAGTTCCATTTAGTCTTCGTCGTTCTTAGAACCTTCATATGACAGGAAGATTTAATACAGAAATAAGTTTGCTCTCTGATAGTTCGATATCAAAATGGTTCCTTTGAAAAGACGGAATAATAACAACATATTTGTCTCTTTCCTTCTCATGACGTTTCTCTTCATGCAAACTAGCTTTCTGACTTGATAACCACAATCTGGCAGTCTGTGTGTTTATTGGGAGGGATGTGTCCAATATGGGTGATATTCTTGCCATCTGGAAGCACTTCTCTAATGTCAAGTAATTGAACTGATGTCATAGGATGATGTCATAATCCATCCACTGACCTCAAGTTTGGTCATGTGATCTGGGCAACTTAATTGTTTATGTATTGTAGGTGCATGTTGCCTTTTGAAACCTGATCTAGAAACAGCCAGTGAGAATTTTCACCCTTTACCTTTCTACGACAAAATACTGGTCTGAGATCAGGAACAAGGGGCAACTGAAT